AAGGAAGTCGGCTCGCTGGTTGTCGCTTCTCGGGATTTGATGCACGGTGCAAGCCTCGAAAGTTTCTTGTACCGCTCTGGCTTGTTTACATATCCTTTCATTCTACCATTTTTAACTTCGTAATCTCCTTCTAACTGATGTATTACCAGTTGAGAATCGGAGTTTACTTGCACCACCCGCGCACCGAGTTCTTGGGCGATCTCCATACCTCGGATAAAGGCCTCATATTCCGCCTCATTGTTGGAAACTCGTGGCAATTTGATAGCAAATTCGACTTCTATCCCCATAGGATCGATGATTATGATCCCCGCCCCTGCCCCCGTTGCCGTAGATGACCCATCCACGTAGATTCTCCATTCTTTTTCCGTAGGTATTCTGGTAGTTTCTCGGATGAAATCCGCCAACGCTTGTCCCTTGACCAAGGTACGAGGTTGGTATTGGATTTCGTATTGTCCTAACTCGACAGCCCATTTAACAATTCGTCCTGATGCGGTGGGTTGACCTAAAGTTTGTCGGAGTGGTAGGCTTGTGCGAATTACCATAGTATGCGATAAGAAGTAGGGTCGGAGACGGCGTGTAGTGAGGACTAGTGCATATGCGATTTTTTCGACTTCGGAATACCTAGTTTCCGAATTAGTGAGGATTTTGCTGATGTAATAGATCAGTAGTTGCTGGTTATTTACTTCTTTGAGCATGACTGAGCTAATCGACTCCTCACCCACCGATAAATAAACGAATAGGGTTTCACCTCTCTCGGGGGTGCTAAGGATGGGCAAGCGAGTGAGCGAAATCTTTAATGCCTCAAAAGCGAGTAGGCATTCCTCGGTCCATTCGAACTGAGCTGTCTTCCTCAGAATCTTGAAGAAGGGCAGACTTTTATCGGCCATTCGTGATATGAAGCGAGCTAGGGCCACTACTTTCCCTGCTAAGGATTGTACCTCTTTGATGGACCGGGGAGGCGTCATCTGGAGTACTGCCTCGACTTTAACCTGGTTTACCTCGATACCTCCTCGGTTGATTACGTATCCGAGAAATTTTCCGGCCTTCACCCCGAACGTGCACTTTGCCGGATTCAGTTTCATCCCATAGAGGCGAAGAGTGGCGAATGTCTCCGCTAAATCAGCGAGATGCGTGGAACGTTTTTTACTCTTTACCAGCATATCGTCGACGTAAACCTTGATGTTACGTCCGAGCTGAGCCCGGAACATCTTATCCATCAATCTCTGATACGTAGCCCCTGTATTTTTCAAACCAAAAGGCATTACCACATAACTGCAGGTTGATCCCTCTCCTCCAACGGGATCTGGTGGTACCCTTGCAAAGCGTCCATCATACTGAGTAGCTCGCATCCAGCGGTGGCATCTACGAGCTGGTCTATTACCCCGGTAAAGGGTAATCATCCTTTGGGCAAGCCTTGTTTAAGTCCCGAAAATCGATGCACATCCGCCACTGTCCATTAGTCTTCTGGACTAATACTGCGTTGGATAACCATGTGGGGAATTGGATTTCCCTAATGTGTCCAATATTTAATAGTCGTTGGACCTCTTGTTTGATAATCTCGTCTTTCTCGGTGCCGAAATGTCGCCGCTTCTGTTTAATGGGTTTGCACTCGGGTCGTAGGTTAAGCCTGTGTACAGCGGTACGAGGTGCGATACCGGTCAAATCGCTCGGTTGCCATGCGAAGATATCAACATTAGATTGCAATAGTGTTATTAGTTTTTCTCGAAAAGATGGTTCCAGGTCCTTGCTTACGCGGGTTAGCTTCATCATGCCGGGGACAAGGTCAATTGTCATCAACTCATCCATGGGTTGTACATGAGCGACTTTATCTTCTGGGTTAATTCGAGGGCGCTTCTCATCCCCTAGGTCTTCTTTAGTGAAAGTATCACGTCGTCCTTTCTCCGCCACTTTGACCATCTCGACGTAACAGGATCTTGACTGAGCTTGATCACCCCGGACTTCTCCTATTACTCCGTCAACCGGAAATTTAAGTTTTTGGTGTATAGTCGAGGGGATCGCCCGGAAGATGTGCATCATTGGCCGTCCTATCACGATGTTGTACGAGGTGGTGGACCCTTCGACAATTACAAAATTAACAGTTTGTGTACGCGTTCGAGGTGGTGTCCCTAGGATGACGGGGATCTTAACTTGTCCGATCGGCTCAAGGATCCTCCCGTGAACTCGAATATCGGGGTGGTGACAGGGAAGATTGGGAGGTCAAGTTCCATTTGCAGGAAACACTCATAAGATATGACATCAACAGAACTTCCTGAATCGACAAAAGCACGGGCTACGTCGTATCCACCGACATTGATTGTGATGAGGAGAGGATCGCAATGAAAATCATCGAGGTCTACTTCGTCTTCAGGTCCAAACGAGATGGTAGGGTATTGACGACATTTTGACGCAGAGATCTGGCAGACTTCATGACTGTTCTTGAGGTTGCCGAGATGGCGTCGTCTAGCTCGGTGGGTATCTCCTCCTGTAGGTCCTCCCGAAATCATCTGGATGTATCCTCGTTTCGGCATCGGTGGTGGAGGCGGCACCCGCGCAGGGTTTCCGAATTGAGCCTCACGCTTTTGTCCTCTGGGAGGGTCGATCTTTACAAAGTCCCCGATTTTATTGTCTTTGATAAGACGTTCTACCTCATCTTTCAGGTGCGAACAATCATCTGTCATATGTCCATATTCGTTATGAAAACGGCAAAAGGTGCCCAGCGCCGGATTTCGGCGGGGCTCTTCTCGGGCGAATCGGGGCCAACGCAAGTCAACTCTCTTCTCGATTGCGCATAAGACATGAGACAGAGGTGCCGTGAGGGGCTGGTATGATTGGTATCGGGTTCCTTTAGTATCCGAGATGTTACCTCGGCCAGATGTTGTATCTCTCCGTGGTAACATAGGCTCCTTACCCTTCCTTGCTTCGATGACCCGCATGTTTAATGTCTGGTGAGATTCTTCTATCTTCTGCTGTCGGGCTTCTTCTAGATTAATGAACCTGGATGCTCTTTCCAATAAATTATCGAAATCGAGTGAGGGCTCCAGTGCTAGAGCTCGAAAGAATTCATCATCCCTCAGCCCTTGTGAGAGGGTTGTCATTAACACCTCATCGCTAGTAGTGGGAACTTCTAAAGTGGCTGAAGTGAACCGTTTGATGTAGTTCCGAAGACTTTCTTTCTCTTTCTGTCGAATGCTGAACAACGACAGCGAGGTCTTTTTGCATTTTTTTGAGCTAGCCAATTGATTCATGAAGGCCTTAGCAAACTGCCCAAAGGAGTGTATGCTTCCGGGCGATAACAAACCGAACCAGGCTTGAGCCGGCCCAGCCAGAGTGGTGACGAAAGCGCGACATTTCACTCCTTTAGTGAGCTGGTGGAGTGACGCTGTGTTGTTGAACCGACTCAGGTGCTCGGCGGGATCCGACGTGCCATTATATTCGAACAAAATGGGCCGATAGTTTGTTGGTATAGGGTCGTTATCGAGGTGCCTGGCGAAGGGGCTAGATCCTTTAGGAGTCCGTGTCAAGCCGCTCCGCAAAGCCTTTAATTCGTTTATATCTCGCCTCAAGCTATCGACCTCGGTCCTAACACCCTGACTATTGCCTTCTCGGTTCTCCGAGTAACTATCGCATTCATCCTCAGCTCGCTCTTCGTTCGAGGGGGGCCTAAGGTCTCTCCTAGGCTTGTTGCCCTGGGGTAAAGATTGAGTGTAGTTCCGGATGGCTGTGGTGATCATGTTTTCCACCTCGTCTTTGGTGTACATACGCTCGTTCGGAGGTTGAGCCGGGGCTGTAATCGGTTTTTTCGAAGCGGCTTCACCATTTTGAAATTCGAAAGAGGGGCTACCCGAGAAGAGAGGAATCCGGCTCTCCTTTTCGGGCGTGACCAGGCTGCATCCTGACTTGTCCTTCAAGACAGACGACGGATCGTCGATGGGTGTATCGCGAGCTACAGCATCTAATTCCTTTTGTAAATTTCGGGCAATGGTGTCTCCTTCTTCCATTGTTCTCTACGTTTATAGCTCAGATCTGGACTTCCAGGGGCAGATGTGATGTTTTCCTGGAAGTTGTATACCCAGAACTCTAGATCTTTCCCACAGACGGCGCCACTTGATTTGGTCCGTGGGGCTTCCGTCTTCTTCAAAGCACCTTGATCCGTACTCCGATGGAGATACCTGCAACGCCGGGAGGAGTTCCCGGCGGGAAAGCTCCGACGATCAAGTCAGTGGAATAAAGAGACAAGTATATGTGTATTATTGTAGTGAATAGTATATTTCTTTGTGTGTGTGATTAATGGTCCCTCTATTTATAGATGAGGAAACCTTGGCCTCCAAGGTTTCCTTTTTTAGGGTTTGCTCCCCCCTCAAGTCAAGTGTTTTGGGCCTCTCTTATTGGGCCTGCTTTAGGTCATGCTTATACTAGAATGCGAGTCACGGTGTTGCCAACTCGTCATTCAGAGGTCGTAGTTCGGCATCGTTTCTTATAGTAGTGAATTGGTTCTTCTCAGTTCGTATTTATTCATCTAGGTCAAAGTGGCCCTATCAATATAGTATAGACTAACATATGTTTCGGGGTTTTTCTTTCTTCATAAATATTTAGTGGTTACCGGATTCTAATGGTTATTGTTAGTGGAGGTGAGTTGACCTAGTTTCATAAATGACTCCGCAAGAAGAGAGAAGATTGAAGGAAATAACGGAGGAGGGAGAAATTGAGGAAAAAATACATGAAAACACGAAGTTTAGCCTTCAAATTGCTATCTTGAGCAACGAAAAAAATGGTTAACAACATTGCTTCTCTCGGGTATCGTTTCAATGAAAAAAAATATTTCGACGATTGAGGTAATGTAATGAATCTCAAGACCGTTGGAACATTATTGAAGACAACGTCGAGACACTAGCAAATGAATCTCAATTAATCGATGCACAATTTTTTTTTTTTTGAAAAGCGAGAACCAAAGAGACTATCAGAAAGTTCTTACTGAAATATACAGTGGCGGAGCCAGTATAGAGCGGGGAGCTTGAGAAGTTCATTAAGGTTGGCCTCATAAAGTGCAAATTGAATTTGTATGTTGCAAAATTATACCTCTAAGAAAGTGTTTGTAAAATAAAATATATTTGTACAAAAAAAACAGTGGTATGGAATAATAGTAATAGTACTGCTAAAAAAGAAAAGAAGCTGATTATGAGTATGGGACGGTAGCGGTGACAGTTCTGTGTCGAGGATCTGTCAAAACGGTCTGCACATTGACAAAACCGACAAGCTCAAGTGTTGCTTCGAGATCAGTTAGGTAGTATTCGTCCAAGAATGGCTCTGTGCTTTTCATCAATGTGAACAGCACTGGTGATAGTTCCTATTACACACATTAAATTTATACTTGGAAGGCATAGTAGTGCAACATGATTCTAAAAACATGATAAAGTGAGAACAATTGTTACCTGCAGAATCTTTGATTTTGGCTGCAAATATTACAAAATGAAAACCATAGTGAGTAATAAATATTTAAACCGGAATTTATTATGATTCTGAAATATGGTTTAAATTAATTTAAATCATTGCAAATATGATATCTGGGCTAAATACCGAATTGTCAGTCACAGCAAAAGTGCCTCCAGGTCTAAGTAACCGGAATGCTTCCTTGGCCATATTCTTGATTGCTCTTTCAGGGCACTCGTGAAACTACATTTATACAAAAGGTGGAAAAAAACAGAATTTTGTCATAATCAAATTGCTCATACGTTTTTCTAGATGGATTTAGGAATTTTGAACGTTATTGAATCCATAATTCGAAAAATAAAAATCTTCATTTAAAATTTAGTTTCTCTGGAAATCGTTCAAATTCTTTTTGTGAACTCGCCTTAGTACTTTGACAATCAAAGAATCCAGCCGAAAAACAAATAAAAATAAAATAAAATGCTATTCCAGATAAGAAGAACGAGAAAGGATGTTTATGAGAGAATGAGGCATACATACCACATAAGCAATTGAAACAAGGTCAAACGATTTTGAGGGCAAACCCGTATTTTCACCATTTCCATGGATCCACTTGACTTTTTCTTTTCCCTGATTTCTTCTCTTATCATTATATTGAGCAACAGCAAGGAAGTAAGGAGACAAATCTAGTCCCTGCAAAATTAATGTCACATTTATCGAACTACTACTTTCCACTAGTTAATTAGATCATACTATTTCTGCCACATAAAAAAAAGTTTACAAGAAATCCGACTAATCGAAACTTACAGTGACTTTGGCGGAAGGAAATTTGTCTAAAATAAATCTAGTGCTAACACCAACAGAGCATCCGATATCTAAAATGTCTTGAATTGACGAATATCCTGAATATTGGTTATGATGGGTTTCTATAGCTTGAAGCCAATTTCCACGAACAATTTGATTTGCTTCATCAAGAGAAGAAGCATTAGGTATTGCTCTTCTCACCATTGACATTGTCGCAGCCTCTGCTTCTGCTGCTGCCTGTTACTTAGTATACCAACCATTTTCGTTTAAAACTTCAACATTAGCAAAATTCAATAAACTTTATTTAATTCTCCAACAATTAGATAATAATTAAACAATGTCAGTCTCGTATTCAACAAATAAAAATAGAACTAAGAAAGGAAAAAATGCAATAAAAGGTGAGACTGAAAGTAATCTCGGTCAACACACAATGTCTGATAACCAAAACAATTTACTTTCAATCTTAAATGTAACCATTTGAAATGAAGGGAGAAAGCAAGACATATATAAGTCTATGCATAAACCTGTATTCAGATATGAATCGAATAATTATTTTTTCCCTCAAATTAAAATCCTATTTGGAATCTCACTATCCAATCTCAATGGATATACGAACCAAGAAATGCACTACAGTGCAAGCGAACAACAAACATATATATATAAAACCTTCAGGAATGGCAATTGCAAAAGAATGGATGAATTACCAGCCAAGAGAGGTTTCCCTCGTCATATGCATGGAATGGATTCAGATAATCTGCATAAAAAGTTATAGATAAAACCTTCAGGAATGGCAATTGCACATCTAAATCATGAATTTACTACTTTAAAATGGTAAATCACCGATTGAATTTTTTGGCGGGAAATTCCAAATGGTATGTCCTAAACAACTTTTTGCCAGGAGTTGTAGAGATATTAAGTCCAGTGGCTTATTAATCCAAAGATCACTCACTATAAAAGGAATTATCTTCGTACGTAAATGAGGTCTTGTAATTCCTGATAATTCGGGATTAAAGTTTCAGCCACAAGTTATTAAATGGTTTTAGGCTTACTCAAAGATTTTGTATAAATTTTCAATCAAACGACGGGCTTGTGCCCCCTATTGAAGCACGGCACTAATATAAATATTAAATGCACTAGTTATCAACAAGAGACTGCTTTCCTTACTGATTCATAGTCACATTCATTTGATATATATAAAAAAAAAAAAAAAAAAAAAAAAAAAAAAAAAAAAAAAAGTAAAGTAAGCATAGGATAAAGTATTTGATAGGAAAAAGGAAATTACAATCGGGATAAACAATGGATGAATCCTCGATAGCATCCTTCTCCTTGTAAACATCGGAATCCAAAATCTCGTTAGTCATATCCCTCCAAGGAATGCTTGTTTTCTCAGCTGTACTGTGAAACCCCAATTTCCACTTTTAAATATTAAAATTCTTCAATAACATTTAACAGATAATTAACCAACATAACATAACATAAGATAAGAAAGTTGGATGAAAATTGAGAGAGTTAACTAACCTGATGAGAACTTGTCTGGCACCAAGTTTGAGAAGAGAATAGAGAGGTTTGAAGGAAATGAGAGCTCCGACGAGCCGAGAAAGTGGAGTTTCACCAGTCCATTTCGGTCTTTCGAGCTGCCCCTCCTCATATTCAGCCGCCATTCCGCCGCCACTTGACTGCGCCGCCGCAATTCTGATTCTTTTTTTAAAGTAAGAATCAGAATGGTGGTGGATGGATTTGTTGGTTGCTGCAGCCCAGTTGAGCTTGGAGATGCTGCTCAAGGCCATTCTTTGAACCTTTCAAACGCCGGAGATCGAACTGGTGGTTTTGGTTGGGGTTTGGTGGTGGCGCGGCGGAGGCTTTTTGAGCCTTACATATCATCCTTGTAAGAATCTCAATAACCAATAGTTAGCGGCAACGTGGATAGTATATGATTGGTATCCCATTTTTTTTTTTCTTTTGCTAATCTCATCACTCTTTTGAAATTGGGGATTGTTAAATTCAGCCATTTAATTTAAGGTTAGATTACCTTCAAAATCTCTTAAATTATGCCTTTAAATTTTTCTTAATGAAAAAACATTGAATTTATGACAATGCATTTTTATTTCTAGAAAAACTCATTCCATGGTGTCAAAATAGTCTGTGGTAGAAAAATGGAAGATCTATTCTCTTTTTTATTTATTTTTACTCAAAAGATTATTTTGGCGATTGTGTAATGCTCACTCTGAAACTCTTCGTTTATTTTTGTTTCTTCCTTATCTTTGATTATTATCTAAGAATCCTGGACGTAATCCTAGATGTGAAGAATAAAATCCAAAGGATTTTTCTTGGTTAATATTCCTATTCTCTTAGGATTTTATCTATTCCACGCGCTTGACTTGTACTTTTAAAATTGAAAAATAAAATAAATAAATCAAGTCATTAACATAAACGGAAACGGAGGGATTCAATCCCTCGGTTCGAAGAACTCCTACAACGGATTAGCGCAATTTACTAGTAACTAAAAATAACAAAATAGTAAACTATCAAACCCTTCCCGGTTGAATTCCCAAACAATTTTCAAGTATCCATAATTACTTCAGAAGAAGTTCGCTAAACCCCATTGACACTAATACTCTTTCATATTTTCGTATTTTACTAAATGTCTATCGGACAGTTTAGTTAGAGAACTGAGTTAGAAAATAATCATTTTAGACTCAAAATAACTTATTATCTTTCATCTCATCCATGCTCAAAACCACATCCACAAAAAAAAAAAAAAAAAAAAAAAAAAAAAAAAAGCATTTTTTCCATTCTTCCACTCTTCCGCCTCTCCCACCAACCCATGCCGTCGACCGCCTAATTTCCATCGCAAAATCATAGGAAATATTGTATTCATCTAAGGTGTTTACTTTCAATCCAAATTCTCGAATTAAGTTGTCCATTTTCAATCTAAACTGTTTAATAATTGAAAAGGTAGTTTACAACTCTTTTCCATTTGACAACTAACACATATAGATGGTTTAGTCACCCAATTTGTAATATTAATAATTTTCTTTTCATTCAAAAAAGAAAAGATGTTTGAATTTGGATGTCCAACCCGTGTGTGCCATATTGAAGAAGAGCCACCTTTTCTTATTGCACTTAATGCCTCATGAGGAAAATCATCAAGAGCATAAAGTCTTCCTCTCTTAGATCCCCTTGCTATTATTCGTTGATGCTGATCCTTAACAACAAAATCATTATCAGTGAATTCAACAGTGCAAGTATTATCACAAGTAAGCTTTCCCACAAATAATAAATTCTTTTTCAAATTGTGAACTACAAGCACATCTTTTAAATTTAATTTACTTTTTTCTGTAATGGTGTATGCATCACCAGTATGAGATATAGGTAAAGACTCACCATTACCAAAGTAAATCGCGTCTTCACCAAAATAAGGTTTTATAATGGAGAGTTTACCTGGATTATTTGTCATATGAGACGTAGCCCCTAAGTCAACGTAAAATGATTGGTCATTGACATCGTTAATGGTCATTGATGCAAGAGCTTGAGGAATTTCGGCAGCTTGATATGAGTAGTCAAATCTATGCCAACAATCAATAGCTTCATTGTTTGGTTTTTGACAAATTTGACAAATAATTTTGTCATTTTTATTGGGAGCCCGAGATTCATGATGTGTTAGATCCACATCTCTTTCTTTTCGTTGGCCATTGTTACTCGATTGTATTTGACCAGTGTGGGAATTTTGCCTCTCCAATTGGGTTGTGGCGTCCAGCAATAGTGAATCCTCGTCCCCATGAATTAAATCGTCATCCACGACTTCCTCGATCTCGCATACGTTGGTTGTAGAAGGCTTATTCGTGTTCTAGAAATACATTTTCTTCATCACGTAGTGTATCCAAAGATTGTTTGTATCCTTGAATTGCTAATACGAACTAATTGGATGTCGGATATGGAGGCTTTGTTAACATAGCAAGCCGAAAGTTTTTGTATTTTGGTCCAAGGCCATTTGCAAACCTGAAAACTTTATCAAAGTCGTGAAAGACTTTTATTTAACTTTATGCGGAAAACCTTAATCACAGAATCTTAAAATCAAATTCATCTTCAGAACATAATCACATAATTGAGATTATCGACATACCGTTCACCATGGATTCTGATAGAGATGATGAACAAGGATGATAGCAATCTACAAGCTAAGCCTAGCCATGCCTCCTCTGAATCTCCTTATGAGAATCTTATTCGTAGCACACCTTCTCCTCTTTATCTCTCTAATATCACAACTCACTAAAGATTTTTCTGTAATTGATGGAATTCTCAATTTGCGTCTGATGTTGAGGAGAAGAGTTGTGGATTCTTTTATAGACGAGAGAAAAGGGCCACGATTGATTTGTAACGGCAGAAGAGAAATCCCACCCATCATGGTCTTTTATTATCATTAGCGTTACAAATCAATTACCATAAAATCACCTTAATATCATAATTGAATTACCCACTATTTAATTAATTAAAATAAAGATTAGTGGACCAAAAAATAAAACGTTAAAAAAATGTAAAACTAACATTCTCCCACTTGGTCCACTAAATCGATTAAGAAAAAAAAATAAGTTAAAAAATTATTTGACTCGGTGGTTTCTTCATACAAAACATTTGACACGTGATCACGATTTTAAAAGAAAATTAAGGAGATTACCATAATAGGTAAATAGAGTACTTTAATATTATAACTAGTTTGAGTTATTAATGTGAATCATAGCGGTTATATGATTCATTTATCATATTCCCTTCTATGTATCACGCCACTAATAACCCTTACTATTCTAATCCATAATAGCCCCTTTAATTTTGTCTTGTTAGGATAAATCCTGTTAAATCCAAATATAATATGTGCACACATAATAGCAAACAGGAAAACATAAACATTTGATTAAATAAATTACATAATCCCTCATATGTTTTTATATAATCATAACTCATCAAATCATGGGTTCCTCAAAAAACCCATTCTACTAACATGTTCCTCATATGTCTTTATAGGCAATCCCGGCCCTTGGTTAATGGATCAGCAATCATAAGAGTTGTACTTAAATTTTCTATAGACACTTGTTTTTTGTGGACTCTTTCTTTAACAACCAAGTACTTAAGATCCATGTGCTTGGATCCACTTGTATTTGTTATGACTATAAATAAAGCTCAAGGGCAGACACTTGATTTTGTTGGAGTTTACCTACGAGAGACAGTCTTCTCACATGGGCAACTTTATGTTGCACTGTCAAGAGCTATATCAGTTGATACGGTTAAAATCTTGATTCAACCATCATGTGAAAAAGCACTTGTATCTGTACAATATGCGAAGAATATAGTTTACAATGAAATTTACAATCTAGCTCAAGGCCATCTATATACAGAATAATTTATTGTTATAATGAAATTATATTGATAACTTATTAGTTTTTAAATACTTTCATGGTTTTTAACGTTTTGTACACATTTTTTTGTATAATATTAGTAATATTTGGCTAATTTGTTTTATGCAGGATGACTTCAGTTGTTTTAGATCGGATCCAAGACGTCTTGCCAAGTATTCCTCGTTGGAGCATAAAAGTAGTGGTACATGACATAGCAAAACCACAACAGTCGTACTCAAGTCCCAAACGTTACCAGAGGATTGTTTTTGCGGATGGATCAGTAAGTTCTTATTATGTCTTACTATCATAATACCAGTTAAATATAACTTCAAGAGAAATAATTGCAATACTAAATTATTATAATTTGATTGTTTAAAACAGGGACAAAAGGCTATGGCAACTATATTTGATAATGATATTTCAAAGTTCGAAAAAGTATTCGTACTATTTGAGACATATAAAATTTCCAATGCTAAAATTACCCCTCTCGCTGAAAAGTATAATAAATTTGGATATCCATATCAATGGATCATAACTGCAAGAACTGCAATTAGTCACGAGATAGGACATGCTATCCCTAGATCAGCAACGAATCTAAATTTTGCGTCAATTGGTCAGTTGAAGAGCAGCACACAAAATGATGAATTGAAAGGTATAGACGACATTCTTATTTTTTTTTAATAAAATATGATAAATTCCTTGCATTTCCATGTATTAATTTTTTTTATTCTACCTCAAAACAGATGTTCTTGTCATAGTTATTGAGAAATGGGCGATGCGAACTATTGTAGCTTCTGGGAAACAACACATTGTTCGTGATTTTGCCGTCATCAACCAAGAGTACGTAAATAATTATTATGTCAATATTTTATTTTATTTTAATTATTGAATATTACACTTTTTTTAATCATATGTTTCAATATTGAATTATTTCAGCAAAAAGCCAGTAATTTTAACCCTGTGGAATAGTGTAGCTGAGACGGAAGGAAAGATAATCGAGGAAGCAGAAGAAAACATGCCAATCATAAGAGCAACACGGCTCTCTGTTTCTTCGTACTATGGTACATAAAAAATATATTTTGCATAATACATATAATTTTGACTCCATAAAATTTAAAATATTCCAAGGCTATAATGACGTACTTATTTCTATTATAAAAAGGTATCTCTCTTGCATCAACTCCAACAACAGCTATAACGGTGGATCCCCAGATTATTGAAGCTCAAAATTTGAAAAATTGGTACAAGTACTTATTGGTATTTTTAACACATAAAGGTTATATACATTGTACAATTTTGTTATAATTAGAAACTCATTTGAAATAATAAATTGTAGGCGTGCAAATAACGGAACAATAATATCTGATGCCTTAGCCAGCAAGGAATATCTCGATCACGAAGACTCATTTCACGCAACTACTGAAAAAGAAATTTACCCCTTGATCGATGCGGTAGCTCTGAAAGAAGTAATTCATTCGTTAAACATTTTTACTATTTTAAATATGCTATTACGTGTTTTCTGACAAATCTTATTCCAGCAGAAAGACAAATTTGTGGTTCGGGTTAGAGCTAAAATAACAGACTATGATCAAAAGTTTTTCTACATGGGATGCAATCAATGTTTTTCTGGTGTCGATGCAGAGCTAAACCATTCATATACATGTGCAAGTTGCAAGGAAGATGCTCTTGCAAAGCCGAGGTATAATTACAATAAATAAATAGTAATTGAAATTACATAGTAATTTTATCGTATTTATATTATATATATGCATAATTCAGGGCAAAGCTTTTTCTCAATATTTATGATGGTAGTGAAGAACTTGATGTCATTGTCTTTGGGGATGCTGCTGCCAAAATACTTCAAGTCAACTCCACAGTGAGCATGGAGATGTACAATGCGGTATGCAATAAAAAAATGGTTGCATGAAAGAAAATTAGTTGAAGTACATTTTGTATTTTTATGATCTGATGATTTAATCATGCAGGGTGATAGTACAGATATAAAAAAACTAAACTTTGAAATGGCTGGAGAAACATTTTTGATGAAGCTAAAGAAAAAAGAAAATGTCATGAGAAATGTTTCTCAAACTCAATATCTTGTTATTAGCTTACAATTGAAAAAGGATATT